CCAATCTTTATGAAATTCTGACTTTTTGGGAAAATCTTTAAATCATTCAATAGAACAAGTCAATTGGCTTCAGTAGTTTGATAATAGTATTGAATTAGACGGAAAGATTAATGTTAGACGCTGCAATGAGAAAACCATAGCTGACTTTATCCACAATTCCTCAATCTTTTTCATTATAAAAAATAAGGCTATTGCTGTGTTCAGAGCTCTAGAAGCAGGTTTAGATAATAAGCTAGCAGTACACGGCTAACAATTTTAATAGTAAGTAATACAGAGTTCATTTTGATCCCAGTCAGATCGGCTAATGCCAATGTTAAATCCAGTCATTCTCAACTTGAAATGAGATGAAAAGTGTGAGAATTGACTTGTGATTTTAATTGAAACAGTGGGCCGTGGTTATAGTCAGGTTGTATTTCTCCATTTCAATGTATAATACAAGTGTCTGAAGCCTTGTTCTATGTGCGGTAGTTGTAGTTTTGTAGTCTTTTTTTGTATTTTAAGTAAATCGAGATAAATTATGTGCCTTCCGAAATCCATTCTGCTTTAAAAGAGTGGAAACTTGCTCAAAAAAACATATAAACTACTTCATTAAAGCATTTATCTAGCTTTAGGTGCCAGCAATTCTTATGAGAAATATAGACAAAACATCCTGTTAACTAAAGAGCGAGTGGACTACACTTTAATCAATACCATAGAAGAAAATCATGTAAGAATCTAGGGCAGCATCTAGGCAGTGACCTGGCTCCCCATCTAACCTATACTTTTTCTTACATGGTGTTAGTAGTCCTCTAGCTCTCCTAACAAAAAAACTCCAATGCATTCTTATCACTGGTAACATCTGGAGGTTCTCTAGTTTGCGTTTCTGAAATCAGCTAATCTACCCTACATGTGTTGTGCTATAAATGCGACTCTCTTGCGACAGAATACTTTAAAATCTACTCACAATACGAATCTGAAGAATCTAAATCTGTGCGATATCTTAAAAATCCTACAGCCCTGGAGTAAATTAGTTTGAGCCTTGATGGATTTGCTGCAAGACTAGAAAAGCTCTTTGGGATTTGTAGTTTTTTAACCAACTACCCCCACATATCCACAATTCTAGTTTTACGATTGCTTCATTGAAATCTCGCAAAGTCGTGAATGTGAGTCTAGTTTTTACAAAAGACAAAAAAAAAGTACAAATTGTCATCCTCATTGGTCCACGTGCCTTGTACGGACACACACATGAATGAACACGCTCACAAAGTCCAATTCTGGGGTCGCTTTGTTGTTTTTCTTTCATCTGTTTAAAGTGCAGCACCATGTGACAGTTACAAACATTTTGGGACAAGGCGTGTGTATGTGTCGCGTCGTTAATGTTGGCGGATTTCGTGTTTGTCGAGAGCACTGCACCACACGTGGACAGACATCGATTCTTACAACGCACACACAATATTGAAGAATGGCGACATTACATCATACATAAATATTTGTTTTGATTTATATTGAAGAAGTTGAAGTCATACCCTGATTTTCTGTAGAAGAGCCGTTATATTTTCCACTGTCATCGGACGAGAGTAGCACAAAGTTACACACTCTATTAGCTTAATATTATAATGTAATCAGAAATAATAACGTTAAAGTAAGGAAAGGTTTACTGGCGTGGATATAGTCACTCGTCTCCACTATTAAAAATGCCACAGAGTCCTCTTTTTTGAATGTAAAGTTGCACAGCTTGCGCCTTTTAGATCGACCACAAAACGCATTTCCTCTTGTCAGCGCGGCATGGGCGAGTCACGGTCAAACAGGTATTTAAATTTTGACCACAGTTAAAACCCATTTTGAAAGAGGGAAAAATTATTAAAGCTGACAAACGATGCTTCACAATATTATCAGAAGCAGCTTCTTTATACATTCCTCCATTTCTTGCTACTTAATTTCTTTTTAGCCAATCAGGCAAAGTGTATTTGGATTTCTGACCGTTTAGCGCAGACTTGTCCAAAGCCAAAGGTTCAGCTCCTGGTTTTAGACAAGTCCTGCCCAGATTTATTACTATTATACAGAGTATGTGAAGAGTTCATTGAGAAGGCAATAAGTGTCAGAATTGAGTCTCTGTTTATAATTGGCTTGCCATACAGTACAGTGATATAGTAACTTACCCCTATGACGACAAAGAACAGCTTTCCTCAGCTCTTCTTTGCCGCCGAAGGCAAAATCCCACCTCATTTAGTCACAAGTAGAAATCAGTTTTACAAATGATAACAATATAGCTCTGGAGAAATGTTGTCTACGCTGTACATCAACCTGAAGAGGAAGCCAAAGCAGAATCAGTTTTTCCATAGGAAACCTCTACTGAAGGCAAATGAGTCATGACGCCAAAGGGCAGCATCAGATCAATGAAGGGACCTGGTTAAAAAACCCTCCACTTTTTAAGACCACAAACTTATCACACGATCCTGAATACATGATCCACAGGCAGACACGGGACAGTCAGGTCTGAGTCATGAGGACCAGATATGAAGCTTTTGAAATGGGTAATCTTTTACTTTGGGTCAAATATTGTTGAGTAATAATGAACAAAAGTGAGGTATTTGTCTTTGAATACTTGACCAGGAGCTACAGCTGGTCTTAGCCCAAAGGAGCAGAGGTCAATGTTTTTCCAAACAGAGGATGTGGCAGAAACCAGCTACAGTGAAGACCAGCGAGCTCTGTGAACGAGACACTGGACACTTTGAATAAAACACAAGGTCATGTTATAATTACTATCCCATGAAAGCCTGAACACTGTCCCATGTCTGCCAGGACTCGACCCTCCCTCCGCTAAATAATCCCTCATTATGTCTCACTTCTTTAGCCCAGGACACTCACGCTCGGACGCTCCGAGCGAGTAGTCATCAAGTGCACTTGCAGCATTCACACCAGGCCTTTAGCAGCAAATGGAAGAAAAAATGCTTTCTTTTTTTGATTTTCTTTTCCTTTTTTTTGGACAAAGTGCTTTCGTTTTCAAACATATAAGATAGAATATTTTTACATATATCGGACATTTAGAAGATACATATTAACTTATACTGTATTTACAAAAACTAAATCACTACTAAGAAAATAGCTATGGACGGTCAGGGAGCGCAAGTCACTATAGGCTACACCTAGACTAAGAGTGAATAGGTTTTATGGATACTCATCTTTCTAGTTTCAGAAAAAAAGCACCAAATCTCCCTTTTAGACAAACATTAAACAGTAAAAATATATGTATATACGTAGTAGCGCGAGCAGTTTTTCAATGCCGTCAGACCAGACCTTCAGCAGCGACCGCACAGTGAAGGAGGACATTTTCAATTACACCGCTTCTTCTTTGTAGTAGTTGAGCTTAATCTTCGTTTAGCTTAGTTTTGGACTTAGTTTAGAAAAAAACAGTCTCAGTTTCACTACAAAATATAATTTCTTTAACACAATTGTTATCATTAACAATTTAGCATTTAAACTTTTAGCAGCACAATAAATTTAATGACAAAAGTATAATTTAAAACATAACAGACATAATTCTATTGAAATCGCTCAGTTTTTCCAGAGTAAATATTCTGGAGAGCAGTTTTTATTCATGAAATAGTTACTGCAAAAATGTCTTAGATCAATAATTTACTTTTATTATTGTATTCAATATTTGTCGGTTTTGACAGAATAAGATACAAACCTGATTTGAATATGTTAAAAGTGCATTGTGTGTTTGCAGAGTCATTTAGACGACAGCTGCTGGGATTTCCGGGTCTTTCTATGCGTTTATTGTAATTGCTTTTATAATGATAGTTTTCGTCACATGGCTTGACTTTGCATCTGTTTTTAAGAAGGTAATTCCTGATCGAGTTTCCCTCAGCTTCAGCCCGCTGAAGACGAGTTAAGTGCTATTTTAATACCATTTTTCAAAATATAAAATCTTATTTTCCTCCTTCACTCCGTTCAAAAAATACGAAACCCTGACAAATACTTTCAGACCTTCGAGAAGCAACAGGCAGCTCAAATACAAAAATATAACAGACTTTTTTTTTGGCTTTTGTTTTTTTTTTTCTTTTAAGTTTCTCAAATGTAAGGATAGGCTTTAGAAATGTCTCATGCTTAAATGAATCCGTCGTATGAAAGTGGCATTAGCATCGTCTATATACAGTACAGTAAAATAATCGAGTTATTTTGTGTGGATGAACTAAAACCATGTCTATGTCGGAAAATCAAACGTTTTGGTTATTGTGACTTTTTTTAAACGTACAAGCAAATGTAACATAGCTTATCTACTCTGGCGCTCTGGAATGGGCGCCTTTAACACAATTAGCATGTGGAGGGAGGAATGAGGCGCTCCGGCTGCAGAGGCCCGCACGTGGGATGATTCATTTAGAGAATAAAAAGAATGAATGTTCCTTTTCTGTACAGAATTGGACCCAAGCTAATTTCACAGTTCTCTGAGGTTTCCTGACCCTCCCACATTCTTACATTCAATACGGCGTCAGGTAAGCTGTGCAAAACCTTACTTTAACTGGCTGGTCGCCATTTCGTTGCATGTGTCTTTGGTACAAAAAACAATCAAAATATAGTGTGCAAATATTTTTTGTAACTCTAAACAAAAATATCTGTCCCCCGATCCCCAAAAGACAAGAGTACCAAAAACCAAAGAGTTCACTATTGCAGAGCCCTCCTATTTACACAGACTCTGTGGCATCACGCAACAAGAGCTTCCACTTATGTACATTCAGAAATATCTTTAAACAACAGAACACAACCACAGACGCTTCCTCCGCATTCACGCTCACTGGAAAGTCCTCTCATTGGCTGGAGCTCGGGGGAGTTCTGACCAATCACTCGCACACAAACACACAAGGCACAATGAGTAGCACTCCGATCAGACACTATATGGACAGGCCTGGTCCGATGTACACAGGGGAGCGAGGGTATGTACACGTCCTAAAAAAGGGAGACGGAGCGATCGCAAAGGATATTGTCTCTATCGCCGTCATCTTCCTCAGCCTGCTCCCAAAATGGCCGCCTCTCGAGAGTCCAGTTTCAACCAGCACGAGGCTGACGTAAGCACCAAACGTTATGCTCTTCCTCTACCACCTCCTATATCTGATTTAAATCTGTAGTTGTGTTTTGATTGGCATGAACAGAAAGGACTTGGAACATATTTAGGCCTTCAATTCTAAATATTCCAAGCCAAACTGTAGCACCATTCTGCGCCTGTCTCGGCAGCCTTCTCCGAGTCCAAAAAGTCGTCCAGGACCTTTTTGAACGAATCACTTCCTGTAACAGCGTTGAATCTATGCGTCTTCTTTCCTGTCGTTGTAATGCGTTAGGAGCTCACACATCATTATACCAAACACCTAGAAGGAACCACTGGTGGATTTGGGGCGTTCTGCGGCTGTACACTTATCGCTTTTGAAGGAAACTCTCGCCGCATGCGCAGAGGGGCAGGGAGCGGTGCGCAAGTGGGACAGAAGGATCTAAAGGCGCCTAAACGAAGCACACACACTCGACATGTGCTTGGGGACTACATGATGTGGATGTCTCTGGGCTGGAGGGCATGCAGAGGAGCATAGTTACAACGGGACACGGCCTCAGGAGGAGACCGCCGCCTCTACATTTTGGAGGTGGGCACGCGCAGCCCCACCAGTCCTCCGGTCGGGTCGCCGCGCCCGGTGTTCTCCAGGATCTTGTTTACGAAGTCCGAAGTCTGCCCGGCGACAGGAGGGGAGACTGAACAGAGAGAAAGGGATGTCAGCGTTTTGTACTTATGCCTCTACACAAGGAGACTGTGCACATTGAAGTAGTCTGATGCCTGTGAGAAACTTTGACAAAACCAATGAGTTAAAGAAATATTACAAATTATTTTTGGCTGTTAAGAATTATGTGACTTTTTACCTTCTTATTTTATGTTTTAGAATGCAAAAAATCTTAGATATAAAACACATGGTGACAAGACTAAACAATGCTTTCTTACTGTAACTCCCCATGCTACCACCAGAGGGAGTTTAACTTATTAACTTACATCTCTGATCAGTCTTCTCCTTGTTTGAGATGAAAGTTTGGGTCTTGGTAGATTTGCAGTGGTCTGATACTCCTTCCATTTCAATATAATTGCTTGCACAGTGCTCCTTGAGATGTTTAAAGCTTGGGAAATCTTTTTGTATCCAAATCCGGCTTTAAACTTCTCCACAACAGTATCTCGGACCTGCCTGGTGTGTTCCTTTGTCTTCATGGTTCTCTCTGCGCTTTAAACAGAACCCTGAGACTATCAAAGAGCAGGTGCATTTATACGGAGACTTGATTACACACAGGTGCATTCTATTTATCATCATCAGTCATTTAGGACAACATTGGACCATTCAAAGATCCTCTCTGAACTTCTGGAGTGAGTTTGCTGCACTGAAAGTAAAGGGGCCGAATAATATTGCACGCCCCACTTTTCAGTTTTTAATTTGTTAAAAAAGTTGAAATTATCCAATAAATTTTGTTCCACTTCACAATTGTGTCCCACTTGTTGTTGATTCATGACAAAATATTAGAAATGTATATCTTTATGTTTGAAGCCTGAAATGTTGAAAGGTTCAAGGGGCCGAATACTTTCGCAAGGCACTGTATGTGGCTGGTGCCAGTAATATTGAGGATTATTCTTGAGAGGATCCATCCATCCATTTCTGGGTCGTGGGGGTGGCAGTCAGAGCTGCACCCAGTACACTAGCACCAGCCCCTCACTGATCCTCCTGCAGGTGGTGAGTCCACAGGAGCTGAGATCTTTCAGTGGGGGCTTCAGGCAAAGTGGGGTTAAGTGTCTTGCCCAAGGACACAACGGCAGCAGTCATCAGTGGGAGTTGTGAAGTAGGTCTTATGGTGGGCTCGAACCCACAACCTTCAGGCTCAAGGCCAATGCTCTACCAACTGAGCCACTGTCGCCCCTCTTGAGAGGAGGATAACAAGATATAATACTGCATAAATTAAACTGCATGTGTGGGAATCCAAAATCCAACCTTCTGGATAAAGGATCCTACACTTCCTGATCATCTGCCCTCCTGTTAAAAAAATGACTCAGCATATTATATTAACATCTATTTAATCCTCAGTGTTCAGCAATGACCTACTTTACAAAGATGGAGGTGAAAATGTGCTGAATGAGCGAAATATGGACACAGTAATAAACAGACGAGTGAAAGTTCTCACCGAGCATGTCCTGGACAAGTTTGTCTAGAGACTCAGTCATGTTGGTGGCACGAGGGGCGGAGTCTTCCACGCGGGACACGATCTCCTCTTTGATGGAGTTGATCACAAACAGCAGTCGATCTGTGGAAAGGGGGTGATAAGCAGCTGTTGTATCGGAGGACTTTACAACAATAATAACAAACACATGGGAGCCATTGGTCCATAGGGAGCGGGCTGACTAATGTCCATTAATGTAAAAAAATGTGTTCAAATGTCCCTAAATGTCTAGGATCATCACTGTACTGAGACCATCCTGCACGAGCAAAGAATTCTTCTCGTATAAAATGCAAAATTCTGACCAGTTGGATAAATAGTTTGGGAATTGTCTGACTCGAATTTAACTGAAAAGATACAAGTTACCAGATATAAGATTTTATTTGCCATTTCCAGTTGAACTTGTTTGTTTCTACTTGAACAACTCAAAAACATCCATGTTCTTAGCTTCTCACATATAAAGTGAACTAGCAAATGATCCAATCAGAAAGCAGAATGTGTGTGCTAGGTCTGCAGGGAGAGGCTTTAAGCTTTCACTGGCTACATCATGTTTATTTTTACATGACAGTTCCTGAGAAATCATCAATCACTCTTTGAACACTCACTTTTCTTGTTCTTTTGTAAGATAAATGTAGTTCATGTTTGTGTTAGTGTAGCCGCTAATTGGCATTTAACATGTTAGCTAAGAAAGATAGCAGTTACTTACAGTGGGGCAAAAAAGTATTTAGTCAGCCACCGATTGTGCAAGTTCTCCCACTTAAAATAATGACAGAGGTCTGTAATTTTCATCATATGTACACTTCAATTGTGAGAGACAGAATGTGAAAAAAAAATCCAGGAATTCACATTGTAGGATTTTTAAAGAATTTATTTGTAAATTATGGTGGAAAATAAGTATTTGGTCACTTCAAACAAGGAAGATCTCTGGCTCTCACAGACCTGTAACTTCTTCTTTAAGAAGGTCTTCTGTCCTCCACTCGTTACCTGTATTAATGGCACCTGTTTGAACTAGTTATCTGTATAAAAGACACCTGTCCACAGCCTCAAACAGTCAAGACTCCAAACTCCACTATGGCCAAGACCAAAGAGCTGTCAAAGGACACCAGGAAAAGAATTGTAGACCTCCACCAGACTGGGAAGAGTGTGCCTACAATAGGCAAGCAGCTTGGTGTGAACAAATCAACTGTGGGAGCAATTATACAGTAAGACATACAAGACCACTGATAATCTCCCTCGATCTGGGGCTCCACACAAGATCTCATCCTGTGGGGTCAAAATGATCATGAGAATGGTGATCAAAAATCCCAGAACCACACGGGGGGACCTGGTGAATGACCTGCAGAGAGCTGGGACCAAAGTATAACTGTTTGGTATAAACTCATCTCGTCGTGTTTGGAGGAAGAAGAATACTGAGTTGCATCCCACGAACACCATACCTACTGTGAAGCGTGGGGGTGGAAACGTCATGCTTTGGGGCTGTTTTTCTGCTAAGGGGACAGGACGACTGATCCGTGTTAAGGAAGAAAATGAATGGGGCCATGTATTGTGAGATTTTGAGCCAAAACCTCCTTCCATCAGTGAGAGCTTTGAAGATTTAACGTGGCTGGGTCTTCCAACATGACAATGATCCCAAACACACCGCCCGGGCAACGAAGGAGTGGCTCCGTAAGAAGCATTTGAAAGTCCTGGAGTGGCCTAGCCAGTCTCCAGACCTCAACCCCATTGAAAATCTGTGGAGGGAGTTGAAAATCCGTGTTGCTCAGCGACAGCCCCAAAACATCACTGCTCTCGAGAAGATCTGCATGGAGGAATGGGCCAAAATACCAGCTACTGTGTGTGCAAACCTGGTAAAGACCTATAGTAATTGTTTGACCTCTGTTACTGCCAACAAAGGTTATATTACAAAGTATTGAGTTGAATTTTTGTTATTGACCAAATACTTATTTTCCACCATAATTTGCAAATAAATTCTTTAAAAATCCTACAATGTAAATTCCTGGTTTTTTCTTCACTTTCTGTCTCTCACAGTTGAAGTGTACTGTAACAGGGAGGCACGAGCGGGCGGCGGTGGGCACACAAACACCAGGGAGGCAGTCTTGAGGGTCCACTTTTCAAATTTTTTTTTTTTTGTGCAAAAATGCAAAGTTCACCATAATAAAGTGCATGGGAGGACTCAATCAGTGTAGCTCATCCAGCAGCCCAACCCAGAGTGAGAGCATGAGACTCTTTAAATACCCTCTAAATTGGATAAAACCACTCTAGATAAGCAGGTGTCCACATGTCACATTTGCTCTCACAACCTCTACAACCCTCCCATATAAACCCCAACCAAAATACAAAGACATAGAAAAAACCCCACTATACACAATCCCAACCCAAACCACTCAACAAAATAAACCAAGACCTAAAACCCGTTACAACCCTGCAGTCCTCCCCCCGCCTATTCTGCCCCTTGGTTCAGCCCGGAACGGGTTTTAGCGGCGTCCGTTCCCCCCCGGACTCTTTCCGTCAGACACGCTATCCTGGACACAAGAGACAAGGTAAACAAACTGCGCTCACACACACATTCACGCACCCAGACACCCGACCATTCACCGCATGCACAAACACTAAAACATTACCACTTCTTAAGCTACACATATTGCACTATGCCCAATTCTAATTACATGTTGCCTCCGCAGGACCGGCACCCTACCCGGAACGCACCACACCGGACCCACGGACAACAACAGCCCTCTCAATAAACATTCTTACATGAATATATGTGCAATGTCTTTATATGTGCAATCTAGCCATGTTCAAAAGTGCAGTGTGGGTTAGGTAACGAACGGCCGGTTTGTTACAGTACCTATGATGAAAATTACAGACCTCTGTCATTATTTTAAGTGGGAGAACTTGCAAAATCGGTGGCTGACTAAATACTTTTTTGCCCCACTGTATATTAGCCAAGAAAGATTGCAGTTAATTATAGGAGGAATGAAAATGACCTCTTTCCTTAATCAAATTGTTGTATATTGAGACATATCACTTCCTTCATCAGACCTTCCTTATAGGATCAAACTTTTGAATAAGATTATCAATAATGTAACTTCTGTCTCCACTGTGTGTAACTATCCTTGTGGTTCACGTCTTATTGTGGGTAAGAATGCCTTAAGATAAGTGCCATGTCAACACCCTTCCCCCAATGACTCTTCAAGGTGTGAAGATATGCAAGGATTTCACAGAAGACAAGTCAGTCTGCTTTCGGGCCAAGGAGTAGCAGGACCTCTGGGCTTTGCCCAGGCAACAAAGGGGGCCCTGAGCCTCCAAGATCGGCACAAACCTTAGCTCCAGGTTTGAAAGGACTTCCACAACCCTTCAATAGCCTCCAGCTTCAACCTGGAGAAGTTGCTGAACTGTGGCTCCTAGACTGTGGATTGTGGGAGGACTTGGTTCAGCCACATGATGCAGCCGCAGGGTCCAGGCCCCATGAACATGGGTTGGCCCCCATCCATCACCATCAAGACCCAACAAGGACCGCCATCGACCAAAGGCCCATTCTGCTTGTATGATCTGCTCTTGCTACACACAGTTGTTGGCTTAATGAAAACCGACAATTCAAACTAAGAACACTTGGTCTCTTACAAAGGCTGCAAACATATGGTGGCCTCGGCCTTCCAATCCATTCATGGACAAAGGCCTTGCTATAGAATTATCTCACCTTAGCCATAGAATTTTAACAATTTATCTTGCAATCAACGTTTCCTTCATGTTATTCTTGACAATGTGCATATTTCATATCTAATCTGTATTGTATATACAGTGGGGCAAAAAAGTATTTAGTCAGCCGATTGTGCAAGTTCTCCCACTTAAAATAATGACAGAGGTTTTCAAAAAATTCCAGGAATTCACATTGTAGGATTTTTAAAGAATGTATTTGTAAATTGTGGTGGAAAATAAGTATTTGGTCAATAACAGAAATTCAACTCAATGGAAGGAGGTTTTGGCTCAAAATCTCACGATACATGGCCCCATTCATTCCTTCCTAACACAGATCAGTCGTCCTGTCCCCTTAGCAGAAAAACAGCCCCAAAGCATGACGTTTCCACCCCCATGCTTCACAGTAGGTATGGTGTTCTTGAGCTGCAACTCAGTATTCTTGTTTGGAGGAAGAAGGCCTCTACTTTGGGTTCATCTGACCACATGACATTCTCCCAATCCTCTGCTGTATCGTCCATGTGCTCTCTGGCAAACTTCAGACAGGCCTGGACATGCACTGGCTTCAGCAGGGGGACACGTCTGGCACTGCAGGATTTGATTTGCTGTCGTCGTAGTGTGTTACTGATGGTAACCTTTGTTACTTTGGTCCCAGCTCTCTGCAGATAATTCACCAGGTCCACCAGTGTGGTTCTGGGATTTTTTATCACCGTTCTCATGATCATTTTGACCCCACGGGATGAGATCTTGCATGGAGCCCCAGATCGAGGGAGATTATCAGTGGTCTTTTATGTCTTCCATTTTCTGCCAATTGCTCCCACAGTTGATTTGTTCACACCAAGCTGCTTGCCTATTGTAGGCACACTCTTCCCAGTCTGGTGCAGGTCTACAATTCTTTTCCTGGTGTCCTTCGACAGTTCTTTGGTCTTGGCCATAGACAGGCTGTGGACAGGTGTCTTTTATACAGATAACGAGTTCAAACAGGTAACGAGTGGAGGCCAGAAGAGCTTCTTAAAGAAGAAGTTACAGGTCTGTGAGAGCCAGAGATCTTCCTTGTTTGAAGTGACCAAATACTTATTTTCCACCATAATTTACAAATAAATTCTTTAAAAATGTGAATTCCTGGATTTCTTTTCACATTCTGTCTCTCACAGTTGAAGTGTACCTACGATGAAAATTACAGACCTCTGTCATTATTTTAAGTGGGAGAACTTGCACAATCGGTGGCTGACTAAATACTTTTTTGCCCCACTGTACTTACACAGTTATACACTTTTAATGTACAGATAATGTGACGTCATCAATATCAGTTGTGATTTATTCACTGGTGCCCCAAAATAAAGCTATTATCAATTATTTTACTTACTACATGATTGTTTTTGATCAAATTCTCCAATATCAAATAAATAACTTAAATTATGTGTGATATCGACTTCAATAACCCCCACATACTTATATTAGCGAAGAAACATAGCAGCTACTTATATAAGCAAAGAAAGATAGCAGTTACTTATATATTGTATTGTATGTATTTTGTGTACTCCCTTTGTGCTCAATCTACTGTATGTGCGCTACAACCTTGAAATTTCCCTACTGTGGGACACATAAAGGTTCTCTTATCTTACACCTAAAAAAACAAGTGCTTTACCATATTCAGTGCTTAGACCCCAGAGTTTCACCTTGTTAGCTTCATACTGGGCCTTCTTTTTCAAACGACAAGCTCTGCAATAAAAACACAACATAAATTCATACCATGTCCTTTTATATGCGTTATAAAGTAGTTTCACATGAGACTATAGAGATCCCATATGCAGTATCTGACCTGGAGGCTAGCTTGTTCTTCTCTTTGCGGGAGCGGGGACGTGCGTTGATGGGCAGCTCGCTCACGGGGGTCAAGTCGCTGATGACTTTGTTGAGTTTTCGCAGCTCTGTCCCGATCTGCAGCAGTTTACGAGGGTTCGGAGTCAGGTCTTCCACATCCGTGCGACGGGATTTCTTCAACATGTACTTTCCTACAAGACAAAACGCAGGGTTCAGACGGTTTCCATGAGCTCCATAAAGGTTTAGCTCAGCTCTTTCTTATGAGACTGCAAACCTTAAAATGTCCTGCTTTTCGAGACTAAAGTTTTTTACTTCTTTATTATGCTAAAGTCAGAGTTTTTTAACTTAAAATGTGCAATACTCAATCCTACTTTTTTTTCGGCTGTCAGACTGTACAACAAACCTGGATGATTCAATAAAGTATCTATCCATCTACTGTTCTGAAACTGATGATGCAACACTGAAATTTCTCCACTGTGGGACAAATAAAGGATCTCTTAATCTTATTTGTGTAGCAGAGTTCATACACAAGGCAACTCAAAGTGATATAACAAGATAAAAACAGTCTCACAAGGCATACAAATCATCAATAAACAGTCAAAAATTGTGAAGATACAATCTTTCTTTTGTGTCCACAGTTAAACAGAACTGTTTTAAACTGGATTTGAACATTGACAATTAAGAACTATGTCATTTTCAGAAAGAACGTTCCAGATTTTATGCAACTAAAATGTATAGATATATTTATATTTAAGTGCTGCTCTTAGTAAGAGCATAATATGTAGCTGTGCTATGCTTCTTAGCTTGCTGTAAATACTTCATAAGGTCCTGTATGTGCGCTGCAACATCAACATTTCCCTTCTGAGGGACAAATAAAGCTTCTCTTATCTGAAATGCCCATGTGTACTCCTGACTCTGGGCACTAGCAGGAGGCCAGTCCCTGTGCTCCTCAGAGTCCAGGTTGGTTCATATGGCACTAACAGAGCTGCTGTAGTAGTGACATCACCAGTGCTTCTTTAGTGTGTAAAAACGCACACACCCGAAGACATGTTGTCCGCGATAAGATCTGCTCTTGTCTGGCAGCTCGACCAGCGTCATTGTGATGGGGGCAGAGATTACCGTGCAGGGGGCCGTTCTTCTGGTACAGGTTGCTGGGCAGAGTGTGTCTGTCCCACTCGGAGGGCTTCAACATGCGCTCCTGTTTGGTGGGGGTGAGCTGCTCGCTGTACTCCCAGAAGTAGCGGCGTTTCCCCCTCTTCCGACTCGGGACCCCCGCTGTCAGACCTTTAATGTCCTCCATCTCCACGTCGCAGCCTGAGTGGCACAGAAGAAAAGGAACAGAGAAGTCAATTTAAACATTGAAATCATCTATAACGCCTGAAGAAAAATGAGACATCTACGAATCACATAAAAAAACACTATATTTTAACCAGTTGTGGATCCGTTTTTGTGCCCATCGTGGAGAAACTCTAGCCTAGTAATGCTTTGAAAGACGTCTTGTAACTTTGCCTCACTAGTCAAACTTGGGAAAAACGATTGTAAATACAATTGCTATCATTACGTACTGTATAACTACACTTTTGGAATATGTAATATTAACAGCAGGATATATAATTAACTAGTAAAAAAGCAATAAATATACAAATAAGTCCCAGAAAGTTAAGGCATTGAGAGACAATGTTCAAGACATTTCCCTCACTCCTTTGAAGTGGCCTTGTTATAAAGCCTGATGGCATAAGGAACTAAACCAGAACAAAAACATGTGGCAAAGGACTATTGTCGCAATCAACAAAAGGAGCCCATCTGTGTCCCAATACATACATTTCTAATAAATGCATAATTTTCCCTGTGCTCTTAAAAGCAGCAGCTGGCCTTGTCTCAAAAGGATCCAGGTTACGTGGTCACGTAGCAGATCAATTAAAATAGAAATGCTTTGATCTATTTATTCCAAACAGACTGGTTTTTCACACCTCAGTCACAGTGCACCGTACCGGGCTCGGAGAAGGCGTCGCTCATGTCGTCGTCTTTGTCGGCCTCATAATCATCATCATCATCTTCGTCATCGTTATCTGAAAGCAGCTCGTGGTCGCTGCCAAACCCTTCGTCATGATCTTCATCGTGATCTTCATCATCATGCTCCTCTTCCTCCTCCTCCTCCTCCTCCTCTGCCTCCTCATCATCCTCCTCGTCCTCTGGGCTCAGTCTCTGCGACAGGCGGCTGCGCGTCAGAAACAGGGAGTAATTGTGCTCTTCTTCTTTGCTCTTCTCGCTGTTCTCCACCGCTGCAGCTGCACTGACCACCAGTCCCGAGGCGGGCCCCTCTGCTGGGGCACTGGCCTCTGGAGGTGTAGCAGAGAGGACTGGACCCCCGCACACACTCACACTGGGGGGTCCCATGGAGATGGAGGCCTTCTCCTCTCGGCCCAGAGTCGGGTCAGGCTTCTCATCGTGCTCGGGAGGAGTCACATCTGTTTTGGGCACGGAGCTCACGCGCACTTTGGCCTTCCGCACAAAGTCAGTGTTGTAGGCCGGGGTCTTCTGTTTGGTGATGGGATCTGGGTCCAGCTTCACCTGGGTCTTGGACATGGTCTCAGTGCAGGAGGCCACAGGCCGCGTGGGTCTCTGAGGGCCCTCTGGGATATCTGGGATGAGGTTGTGGGTGAGGCGGGGCGCTCCAGGACCCTGCCCGGACACTGGGGGTCTCTTCTTGGGCGCGGGCAGCTGGAACACAGGGGGTGGGGGCAGCAGAGGGGGCAGGTCTGTGGGGTGGCAGAGATTCTCGGACACGGGCTGAGAGTCCTCACTGTTGAGCTGTGCCAGTGTGGGCGTGCGGCCGATCACCTCCTCGTTCTGGTACGGACTGGAGAAGTCGTCCAGCCCCAGGAAGTCCACCTCTTTGGTTCCCCAGATGTCAGAGCTGGTGAGCCGCGTGTATCTGCAGCACAGGTCACATGTTACACAACGACAAAGAATGTACAGAACCATTGGCCCTGAACTCAGAGTGCCTCCGCTTGACCAGTGTGACCTCCATAAAGCTGCTCATTAGAGTCTGTTCCACCTTTAACTTATGAGCGCTCAGACTTTAGAGCTGCACCGCATCAGAGAGAAGGTTGACTGCAGAGGAGCTTGTGTTCCCTCTGCATAGGTCTCTGCCTCAGGCTTATTGGGAGTGTCACGTGTCAGCTCTTTGTAGTAACTCTTCACAAAGATCACAGCTGCACTTTTAACAAAGTAAACAGCTCTGGTTGTATTACTGCGTCTTTGGGAGGTTGCCTGGTTGCAGATAACTTGATACTCCCAGTGTTTACAAGATACAGTCTTTCACACAGGGTTCTGCATTGTGGGAAACTGAGATTATTCACATTTATTCCCAAGTAAATAACAAATAAAGTATTGATTTAATAAATAATTAAGTAATGTTACTCAAAGCTCTTAGTGAAGTAGCATATCTTAGTTTCTCTATAAAGGTCATCTTATCTTCAATCAATCAATCAATCAACGTTTATTTATAGAGCGCCTTTCCTACACAAGGCAACGCAAAGCGCCTCACAACCCATATAACATCATGCATAAATCATCAAACATTAGAATTTAAGTAAACATAAAAAGACAGATTAAGAGCACAAGATATATAAAATTACACAAGTAGTTAAAAACCGTAAAAAATTAAAATCACACAAGGGATTACAATCATAAATAATCATAAATAATCATAGCGCATTAAAAAGATTAAAGATAAAAACAAATGTAAAATCATTCACTTGTATGCACAGCTAAAAAGAACTGTTTTCAGTTCAGTTTTAAAAACTGCTAGAGTAGACGCCTGTCTCACACTCTCGGGAAGACGGTTCCAGACTCTAGCTGCATGAATCTGAAACGCAGCCTCCCCATGTCTAGTTCCGACTCTTGGCACTAACAGAAGTCCAGTCCCTGTGCTCCTCAGAGCCCGAGTTGGTTCATATGGCACCAACATGTCGCGGATGTACCCTGGTGCGAGGCCATGGAGAGACTTGTACACAAGTAAAGCTACTTTAAAATCTATTCTCTGAGCCACAGGAAGCCAGTGCAGAGACCTGAGGACCGGACTAATGTGGTCGTACTTCCTGGTTCTAGTCAGGACTCGAGCTGCAGCATTTTGGATGTACTGCAGCTGTTTTACCGCTTGTTTAGAGAGACCTGTGAACAAGCCATTGCAGTAGTCCAATCGACTGGAGACAAATGCGTGGATAAGAATCTCCAAGTCTGCTTTAGACACAATGTTTTTAATTTTAGCAATGTTTCTTAGGTGGAAGTAAGCTGATGATGTCACAGATGATATGTGGCTATTGAAATTCAAGTCTGAGTCCATTATTACATGGCTCTTGTGCCAGATGAGGCTAATTTGCTCCTATAAGCCCAGCAGCAGAGGATGAATAAGTGATGTGTACCTGGTGAGGTCCTCCCAGTACGAGTCCCACTGCTCGAAGGCCGATCCGCTGCCTTGGCTCTGGCTCTCGCTCTCGCCCAGAGCCATGAGCTGATCCACAGGGCCCTCAGCCTCCTTCCCCCAGTCAAAGGCAGACAGACTGTCCCCACAGGGGCTCTGTCTGTGGCTCATGTCTCTGTCCTGAAGGAAAGAACAGTGCCCTTTATTAAACCCCATTAAATGTTAACATTACAGAATATGACTGAATCAAATAAAGATTTATGATAAAAAGGGGAGAAATTATTGTGGTTAAAATATTCAGTCCGTTGGAAACAGTGCGACAGAATTTGTGTATAGAACATTTATTGTAGTTGTCTCTAAACTAGTTATATACTAACCTTTTCTAAGTTAATAATAATAATCTATACTATCAATTTCATATACATTATCACAAGAATATTAAGTTAATGAATTTGCAGCAAAGCTCTTGAGCAGCTGTGTCAATAAACAGCAGAACAAAGGTAGATCCACTCGGACAGCCTTAAGTGCAGACTGTTTGAAAAACATAAACTGCCGTTTAGAAAAACATCTTTTGTCCAAACACCCTTCTCTATAAGAGGAGGAAGTTTATGGAACACATTCTCTGACCATTCAAAATATGTGCAACGCTCGGCATGTTAAAAAGAATAAATCTTCATTAGTATGATTTTATTGTGTTACTTGTATTCTATAACATGACTGCAAATTAGCTTACAATAAAATGGTTTGTCTACGTTTCCTGCCCCTACTAAAAAAAAAAAAATCAAATACATAAGGTACACTTTATATACCTTATGTATATTGATATGTATATATCAATGAGAAATGTATTCTCTGCATTTGACCCATCTTGAATGTTTTTAGGGTCTTTGACAGGAGCAGTAGTCACCGAAGACTAGCACCTGGGGCTTATCGCCAGAAGATGATGCTCAGCTTGGTCAGGACCAGAGCTGGAGGATTTTACCGATTGCAAATGTTTTTAGTGGTAATTTTAGTGGCACCTGGAGGAAATTTATGCAGCCAAAGGAAGACTCCACTGCACTCAGAACAGCCCTGTTCCAACCGGGATGCTAACCTCTCAAATAAAAAGATAAAACATAAATTGTTTTCTTTTTCAAAATGTTATAAAAGAATCACCTTTATTGGCATGATCGTTTCAGTTTGTTAATATTTCATGTACAAACCGATAGGAGGAGAACACTTAATGTAGGAAACTAAATTCTGCATATTTAAGCCAAACATTGTGGAAGACATGTCAGGTTTTTAAGGAGAAAGTTTTCATGACGCTTGTCTCTTGATTTGAATTACTGATAATGGAAAAAGTTGAGATTGCAAACTTTCAATTTTTGTCAGAATCCGACTGTAAATGGAGTCACATCAAAGGCCCTACAAGCTCCGCTCAGACCACAGATCAAGATATATTTTTTCTTCCTGGAAAATGCCCGTGCAAAGCTGCTGAATCACCCATGCATTTCAAACTCAGAAAAGAAAATTTGACAACACAAAGTAAAAACAGAATCAATAAATTTATCAATCTAAAAAAAAACGTTTTGAATATTAAACACCCATTGTTTTCACATACAAGTTCCTCAATTGTTCTAAAAAGTGTGGGACCAGTTTGATGGTAAATGAACACAGACACCTGCCGCTGACAGACAAGAGGCAAATGTCACAGGCTGCAAAACAATTAGACACAGACGCCTCCAGAGAAACACTTCACAACATCCCAAAATAGACCTTGAGAATTTGAGTTTCAAACATTTTCCTCACTAACGAACAGGGGACGGAAAGACATGTCCACCTTATGATTATCATGAGCAAAAACACCACGCTATAACGAGTCGTATGCGTCTATCATGCTTAAAAAGGCTTCTTCCCATCTATAACAAGAACTCAAGAACGACCTCTGAGTTGTAACTCGGTTATGGAGATTGTCTGTGGCATGATAGACTTTAATTCTCTCTTCTCTTACTGTAGGTTTTATTTTTAATCTTGTGGAAACTCCAGCACACTGTGAAGGAGGTTTGGTGTGAAGCTGTGACTTGATCTGTTAATTTGAAGTTGATTCGAGAAGTTATAGAAGCTGAAGGCTCTGAAAAATAAGATTCATCATTTTTACCTGGATTCTGCCCTGTCAATTACTGATTTTCCCCCTTAAATCTTCTATCATGAGACAAAGATGCTAACAAACAATGCTAACAGCAATAGCTTTATGGTCGGCACTAGATAATATACGTAATCGGGACTGAAGCAGAAGTAAATATAACCAACTACCTAAACTGCAAAACTTAACCAGCCATTCTCAAAGAATAACCCTAACCCTTAACCCTAACCTTAACCATCTTACTCAGACACCAAAAACTTAACCAGTCACCCTTTTGTCTAAAACTAATTTGAAAGTAGGATGGTTACTTCTGCTTCCGTCCCAATTCCGTAGATGTGTGTGCCGACCATAGCTTTATGTAATGTTAGCAAAACATTGGCCATTCGACAATTAGTCTTGTATCATCTCTTTAGTATTTCACTTTTACCAAACTCCTGATGTAGAAGGATCCTCTGTTGACTGGTGTTCTGAGACTCACCAGCTCATACATGAAGTCCGGGTCGGAGCTGGTGGCCAGGAGATCAGTACTGGTCAGAGCCTGGTCCACAAACGAGTAGTTCTGAAAGTCGTCCCCAAAGGGAGTCTCCATCCCACTCACACTGGGCTGAAACATACAACAGCACCAAATTAGACCACAGAAAAAGCAGAAATAGGTTTCCTCCAGAGTTGGATTTTTCTTGGATTATCAACATTTATAACAATATTTTAGCGTGAAACATCCAAGGAATAAAAGCCAAAATGTTTGTACTCCTGCCTCACAAATCATATATTAAAAACTAGAAAGGGTGGAACCATTTCATAATCTTGCTGTTAGGATCTGTGCTCTGCCTCTCCGACTATCCTCAAAATCATCCTCATATGACAGAATCAGAAAAGAAAGTACACGAACACTAAGTAAGCAGAAAGAGTGGCTGGGTTTCCATGGCGACTTAAACATGCATGAAAAAGAGAAAACAAACTATAACCTGGTCAAAAAGCTGTGAAAAGTCGATTCTGCATGTTACAGTACAGCACGTCCACATTCAACTATTGACGAGAGACTTGTGCATTATGCTACACCAGTAAACTTTCCCTGTGTTTATTGTGGTCGTAGATTTCTGCGTATAACAAAACATGATGTAAAGATATATGTGTGTGACACTTTGCTCCGGCTTGATGTAGAACAGCCGGTTTGGTGAGGTTAACCGAATCAGATTTCAAAACGGAAGACAGGAAGTGGAGACATATCACAGGCACATTGGTTTTGCACCTGCAGTGTATTTTTGTTCATGGACTTTGAATATTTCTTTGGTTGAAACTGTAATCTATTTTTTTCTAAAGCAAATTCCTAGATAGAACTTCTTGATACTTACAATGACAATAAAAGAATGCTGATTCTGATTGAAACTGTCTCATCAGAACTCATTGGTAACATAGAGATCAGATCGGCAATATGAAAAATCAATTAAACTTTGGAGTCATGAAAACTAGTTCAATCAGGTCGTAATCTGTTCTGGAACCAGGGCTGGACTGGGACCAAAAAACGGCCCAGGCATGTTTTTGTTCTTCACTTTTTTTTTTTTTTTACAGTTTGTTTATACAGTATGCGGAAGCAAATACTGTAGGGATCAGGATGTTTGCAGTTTCAACAATAAAAATGTGCAATAGTCTACATTAAATAATGAGTAATAAACATGTCTCAGAGTGAGGGAGGTGGACACAGACAACACTATTGTTTGTTACGGGGATGAGAATTGGTCAAAAAAGTCTGAAATGCATAATGTCAGCCATTGGCTGGCTCTAAATCTGTTTGATTTGTCCACAACATTTTACTTTTGGGCAAAACCAACATGATTGTTTAATGCAATGGAAAATGTAGGTACCCGAGCTTCAATTTAGGGAGTTTAGTCGCGCTTCGAGTTGAGAGGGGAGACGCGGATTGTTTCACGCAGCTGTGTATTTATTGGGTGCACAGATTACACAAAGACACTCACACAAGAAGCAGAGAATGGCCCTGTGTGTGTTTATGGTCTTGGGTACATGGCCACGTTGCGGCCGCAATGTGGAGCGGCTGCCCTAGGCCCCTAGGCCCTGGGCCTCTGGGTCGCTCCAGCAGCTTACCACAGCTAAAACCAGCTGTATTGTAAATGTACGTTGTGTTAATTAAATCATAAATTGTGAACGTTACGATCCCCATCATCATTTTGTTGATGAAACACACTCAGTTTTACAAGCCGCGCATTCGCTTTTGAGAGCCTCGCAAAATGAACTGTTGGCATCTTTGGCGATGCTAATGCAAGCTGGGTCGGAATTTAATGGTCAGAGCTTCACTGATGTAGAGACCAAGAAATATTTCACATTTGGAAATAGGTGTTATTTACGTTTATCTACAGCATGGAAAGCCCTTGAATAATTTTGAATGTTTTGTATAAATGATATATGCTGCTGGAGAGTTACAAATCACTTACTTACATTTGTTTGTGACCCATCTAATATGAAAGGAAAGTGGGTTTTTACCTTTTTTTTTTAAATTCAAAAATATATTCTATAATACATCGGCAGATGAATGAACTGTGAGCCGGTTTGAATCTCCACAAACTTGACTCATACTTTACACCTGTAGGAGGAATGCTGTGTGTTTCCATGGAAATCATCTTTTTACTGAAATAAGACATGTTTTAACAGAAATCGTCAGATCTTGTTCATGGAATTATATAATTTGTATAGTAGTTGTACAGAAGTTGATATTTGCATGTCAGAAGGTAACGCACTGTTACTTTAGTTTTTTTATAATTCCTTTGAGAGTTATATCTTGTGCTGTATGCTTCTCTTTTCTAATGTTCTATAACTGGTGATGCAACTCTGACATTTCCTGAATAAAGGGTCTCTTAATCTTAAATCAAAACCTTAATGTCTGCTGAGCTTGACTTAAACATTCATAAAGTTTAATAGAATGTGTACAGGCTCTTGCCAAGAATAAGTCAGTGTTTCATCTTGAATTTCTTACCTGAGGCATTGCCAGACACAGCCGGGAGCTGCAGTGGGCAAACCTCTGGGTCTCCTGTCTAGTCCCAGAGGTGGGGGGTGGAGGTCTCTGCTCTTGGGGGTGTATACCGGACTTCCAGAGGCAGAGGGGTCCCACAGGGGGCGGAGTGTGGGTCTGGGTACAGGTCTGTTCAGGTCTGTGAAAGAGAAAGAGAGAACTGTTCAAGAAACTGCTGCTATGAGGAGAGTGGGACCAATATCACAATGTACAAAGTTAAAAATATATTGTTCCATCCATATTTAGGTTTAACATTAGATAAATAGGAGCAATGCAATAGTAACAACACACAATAGAAGCAAGTGATAAGCAAGTACTGGCAGCTTGGACAGAGGGAGGCTCCTTTCGGTATTTGGTGCCGTAATAAAAACCACAGACAAGATTCACATATAAAAGTTTGTGCTCTATCCTGTGCTATTATTAATCTGCAATCATCTGAACAAATATGATGCATAATCTGTGCTTATTTATGGCCCTTAAACATGATCTTGGGAAATTTGTGGTTACGTTGATATTTTCAACCTAACAAATAGATGACATTGAACATACAAGGGTTAGGTAAACATCCATCCATGCAGCGGGATATACATTCTGCTATTCTAATAATACACATAAGATAAGATAAACTTTATTAACATGCTGCAGAGTATAAGGCATCCATGTGTAAAGAACATTCATTTATTTGACTGGAGAAATTCACAAAAATGAATGAATAAAAGCAATACTTTCATTTTAAATCTATACAGTTGTTGTGGGAATTGCCCTTGAAATGTTCCTTGCCTTCAACCCTTCAGCTCGGCCGCCTCCCACTGGCTGATGGCCCGTCCCTGCGTGATGCCAATCTGCACGGGCATAAAATGCAATGTCCCCTACAGAGTGCTGAAGTCTGCGCCCAAGGCTTAAGCTATTTGGTCTATTTTACATTTGTGTTTCTTTATCATTACTCCTCAGTCATGTCAAATACATTTAAATGTAACCCTATTCATCTTGTATTTTTACATCAGTCCACCTCAGGTCTTAAAACATCGAAAGTTATTGTGCCCTGGACTTCTGACAAATAACAACAGAGTCTGTTATGTTGTTGCTGTTTGTGCTTGTGTGTGTGTGTTGTTTATGTTTAGTTTATGTCCGATTTTTTTTTTTAAACTTAATTCATAGACAGAAGGGATGGGGGAGATATATTTGTGTCAGAGATTCCTGATATTAGCGAGGAACTCCAGGTCCAGGTGCAACAGTAAAAAATGCAGCATAGGGTTAAAAACTCAAAAGACTCAAAAGACAGGATGTCCTTTTCAGCTTTTAAAAGGCTTGGAAGCTGGTGCACTACATCTCGATTACTCCATTTAAAAACACCAAATAGGGATGTCCTGTTGTTAATAGATCTTTGCATCTGCTCTCTTATGCATTGCCTCTGAACTGTTATGAGTCATCTTAAAATAATTACATTTATATAACAGGCAGAGCGTCACAAACTAACTGCCTGTGGCTTTACTTTTGAATGCACTGGAAAACGGCTGCAGGTCCTAAGTAGCTCTGAAACAGTTGTTTTGTGCTTTATACATTTTATTTTTGCTTTTTTTCTACCTAAGATGTTGCTGCAGTACAGTGTTCATGGTTTTGCACTGGTCCAGACCGGAGCGGAGAGAATTTATGGTCCGAACCAAGTGGTTCAGATAAAAATCCATTGGAGGAATGCACTTCTTGAAAAATGCTAATGAACCATTCAGCGTTTTACTTTGGACTAGAGCAGAGAAAATGCTCCGAACCAAGAGGCTACTCCACCTCTGCTGCTGTGACCTGAATGGCTGTTGCTGATTATTACTATTGTTAGCTTTTTTGAATGATCAATTTTATTGTTTATTTTTGCTGCTACTGGAAACCTCAATTTCTCTGATGGGGATCAATAAAGTATCTATCCATCTATCTAAAGACACGGGGAATTCCAAGGTGAAAAGAGAAGGATTCAATAGACATATTACAATTTCGGATCATAACATTGCGCTGAAAACAAATGCTTCAGATTCAGGTTTGAGCACGGAGGCAACAGGCATGTTTTTAAGCCAACCAAAGGATGTCTGCAATAAGAAAAAATACTCAAACACAAATCCGACTCAAGGCAAAATGACATGCTCGACTGATTAACCTTTGTGAGATCTAAGTTTATCAGTTTCAAAGCGTCACGAGGGGAATCCCAAAACTGTTGTAGCCCCAACGATAAAAAACTTTTCTGATAAGGGGTTTGATAGTGTCCAGCTCCAACCTTTTTCAATCAGAGAGCTACTTTTATACAACAGAAGAGGAAGAGAGCTACTCCTTTTTAGCAGTTGTAATACAAATCTATTCAATAATTAAGACAAGAGAGAATACACATGGAGAACACATGTAAATATACCATACTATACTTAAATCATGTGCAATGTGCAATACTGCAACTTCAGAATGTCACAGAACAATGTCACTTTACCTCATGTCACTTTACTTATATACTTTTTATCCTGCACTATTTAACTGTACAGTATATAACTGTACTACTACATATATATTTTTTGACTGGTATTGAAGCATTTTCAGCATCTACAGCTAGTTATGTTAGTTAAGAAACATAACTACTACTTATTTGTATATAGTGTATATATTGTGTGTGATCCCTGTGTGCTCTTACTACTGTCATATATGTGCGATGCAACATCGAAATTTCCCCACTGTGGGACGAATAAAGGAATTCTTATCTTATAACACTGTAAAACCCTATATTTATACTTATAATAGATATGCAATGACTCAAAAGTGAATCAATCAAAATCATGTGTTAAATTCTAAATCCTCTGGGGAGCTACCTGATAGGAGCTGGCGAGATACTGGTAGCTCCTGAGCTATAAGTTGGAGACCCCTGGTGTAGTCTATTTAATGAAATTTGTCCTCTACAATTCACCCTGAATGCTAACTATTCAGAAAACGTTTCTCTTTCCAAAATATGCATGTCTGTCTCTATGTTACTCTATTATATGTAAGAGAAAGGACAATAACGAGTTGATAATGTATGAAGACAATACCACGGCATCGTATAGAATGAGCGGTTTCAGATTTTTTACTGTACATCCAGCTATATTATTAATCTTTATAAAGGCCACAATACAATATGGCCCATAGTAAAAATAAAAATAAACTCCAATACACACTATAATTTCATATTGAAAAAGAAATATGTACAGGAAAACAAAAAAGAGAACATTACAGCTGCTGCACATCAAGGCATATATTGTTATTAGTCATCCTGGTTTTATCGTGATCTTCGAAACATGGTGACTTTGATATTTCGATATTTCAAAAAGCAACAAGTCTGATAAGTCAATTAATTGAATAAAGTGAAATTGCATGTAGTCGTTTACTTGTTTTGGTATTAAAAAGTGACCTGTAGCACCACATTTTATCCCTTTGGTCTAAATTTCTTTGCTAAAAATAACCAAAACATCACATGACCCTATTATGAAATCTTCAGAGCGTACAGTAAAATGAACAAGGCTATTGTACACGGCCCCACCCACGCCGCTCCCATTCCTCCTGATTAAAGCTCAGACGAGAGCGCTAATCCTACTCTCTTCTTGATAAAGTAAAGGTCCCAGGACACGCCGCTGCTGACAGGTCGTCCCAGCGGCTTTGAGGAAACAAGTAAATAACAAAGGATGTGTTTCCCCTGGAGATAACTTAATACACCGCAACATGAAAGATCCTGAAACGGAGTTAAAGCCATGAGCGAGGAAAAAGGTTGGGTCCCGACTGTCATAACAAACTGTGACATTAACAACGTATGGCTCCAGGAATTACACTGGGACAATAGTTTAGGAGTTTGTGGTCATAAAGCAAGATTCTCTGATGTATTTTTCATTCATTCCCTGTGCTCCTCAGAGTCAGAGTTGGTTCTTAAGGCACCAACATGTCACAGATGTACTTTGGTGCGAGGCCATGGAGAGATTTTCAAAACCTTTGCCAACACAAATCAGAGAATCAAGAAATGCAATGATAAAAAACACATAAAGCCGTTGGTCTATAAGGGGCAGATGACCAATGTCTATAAGTGTTGATAAAAGTCCATAAATGTTGTTGAATGTGGAGTGTCCTGGATCATCACTACTGTCCTTAGCGTTTTTCCTTGCCGCTGCAGGTGGGTCTAACAATGGTGGGCAATATGGGTGACGTCAAGTGTATCACCTATGGACACGAGTTAAGAACTTTAGAAGCCTACAAATTTTAGCTGCGTGAATATGAAATGCTGCCTCCCCATGTTTAGTTCAGACTCTGGGCACCAGCAGGAGGCCAGTCCCTGTGCTCCTCAGACTCAGAGTTGGTTCATATGGCACTAACATGTCATGGATGTACTTTGGTGCTAGGCCATGAAGAGACTTGTAAACAAACAGCTGCTTTAAAGTCTATTCTTTGAACCACAAGAAGAAGATACCTGTGACCTGCTACAGTAACTATAATATAAAATGCATCTATAAGCTGCTGTTTAAAAATTGGCAACCCCCTTTTTATGAAACGGATACATCTGGGAGGATTATAAGCTTTAACCAATCAAAACTGGGCTCTCTGCTTACACATGTGTCCCTCCTCTCGCTGCTCTTTGCATGTAAACAAATACAGGCCTGTAGACTAGCCGCATCACTTCCTGCTTTCACACTGGACTGCAGCTGCATAAGACCATACTGAAGCTTATATAAGAACATAAAAGTGACATAAGCTGCAATAACTCAAAACAGCGAGAGGTCTGATTAGCATCGCCTCTCAAACAGGGTCCACATCCTCCTCGCCTGTGGTTTATCCTGGAACTTAACACGTCCAACAAAAACAAGACAAATCCAATGTTTGGCTTTGTCACAATGAGACGACAGGCCCCAAGATGAGTCACCTCTCCGACCATCGAGAAGGGTTAATGACCAAAAACGTTCTCATGACGCACGCTGAAACACAGGAGCTGCCAGGCGAATAATGGTGAATTGAATGATTGAACAAAGTAGATTACAAACATATAGTAACGGTGTGTTTTAGGAGCTGGTTGATAAAAGAAAGAGGCCTTGTGCCGCCTGAGAGGCAAAAAGGGCAGCAACAAGAGAATTGATTAATCACAGAGAATTTGATAAA